TCGCCATTGGCGTTGCCGTCCTCCTGGCAGACCGTGTGGCGGTCCGACCGGCAGTCGGCAATCTCGTTGGGCTGGCAGTCGGCGTTGCCTTCGGACTGGCCGTAGGCGTTGCCGTCGGAAGGGCAGTTGGTGATGCCTTCGGCTTGGCAATCGGCGCTGCCGCCCGCCCTGCTGGTCGTCCGTGTCGCGGTCTCACTGGGAGTCGGGCTCGCCATGAGGCTGGCGACCGGCGATGCCGTCATGCTGGCAGTCGGAGTAGCCGTTGGGCGAACAGTCGGCGACGCCGTCGGTCTGACCGTAGGCGTTGCCGCCGGACCGACAGTGGGCGTCGCCGTCAAGCTGGCATACTGCGTCGCGGTCGGGCTGGTCGTCGGCGATGCTCTTGAAGTGGCAGTCGGCATTGCCGTTGGACTGGCAGGTCGGCGATGCCGTCGGACTGGCCGCATGCGTAACTGTCGGACTTACAGTCGGCTCTGCCGTCATGCTGTCAGTCGGTGTCGCGTTCGGACAGGCAGTCGGTGTCGCCGTCGGACGGCAGTCGGCGTTGCCGGTGGACTGGCGGTCGGCGGCGGCGTAGGACTGGCTGCAGGCTCTGCCGTAAGACTGGCAGTTGGCGTTGTCGTCATGCTGGCAGCCAGTGCTACGGTCGGACTGGCAGTCGGCGTCGCCGTCGACAACGCGGTCGGCGCCAGTCGGCACTGCCGTTGGACTGGCAGTCGGCGATGCCGTCGGTCTGGCCACAGGCGCTGCCGTCGGGCTGGCACTGTCGTTGGATGGACAGCGGGCGTCGCCGTCCCGCTGGCAGCCGGTGCCGCGGACTGACTCGCAGTCAGCAGCGCCGTTAGACTGGCAGACGCCGTTGCCGTTGGACTGGCAGTCGGCGATGCTATCGACCCGAGCGCGGGCGTAGCCCTCGGACAAGCTGTCGGCATTGCCGTCCCGCTGGCAGTCGATGTCGCGGCCCGTCTGGCAGTCAACACTGCCGTCGGACTGACACGCGGCGTTGCCGTCGGGCGGGGAGCAAGCACGGCCGCCAGACTGGCCGCGGGCGTTGCCGTCGGACTGGCAGTCGGACTGGCAATCCTGCCAGACGTTGGTGTCGTGGTCGAACTGGAAAGCCGGTGTTGTCGTCGGACTGGCAGTCGGCGTTGCCGTCGGACTGGCAGTCGGCGTTGCTGTAGGAGAGGCGATCGGCGCCGCCGTCGGACTTGCCGAAAACGATGCCGTCGGAGTGGCAGTCAGCGCTTCCGTCCTGCCGACAGTCGGCGTCGCGGTCAAAATAGCAGCTGGCGCTGCCGTTTGCCTGGCAATCGACGTCGCCGTTGGACTCGCAGTCGGCGACGCCGGTCTGGCCGTAGGCGTTGCCGTCGGACTGGCAGTCAGCTCGCCCGTCCTGCTGGCAGTCGGTGTCGCGGTCAAAATGGCAGCCAGCGTTGCCGTTCGGCTGGCAGTCGGCGTAGCCGTCGGCCTGGCCGTAGGCGCTGCCATCGGGCTGGCAATCGGCTTTGCCATCCTGTTGGCAATCGGTGTCGCAGTCCGACTGGAAAGTCGGCGACGCTTTCGGACCCGTCGCCGGCGCCGCCGCTGGACTGCCAGTCGGCGGCGCCGCCCTGCTGGCAGCCAATGTCGCGGCCCAACTGGCAGTCGGCGTGGCCGTCGGACCAGCGCTGACCGCTGTCAGCTGGCTGGCAAACGGCGTCGCCCTTGGACTGGCAGTCGGCGACGCCGTCGGTCTGGCCGCAGGCGTTGCCGTCGGACTGGCAATCGGCGTTGCCGCCTTGGTGTCGCGGTCCGTCTGGCAATCGGCGCTGTCGTCCTGCTGCCAGTCGGCAGTGCTGTCCGACTAGCAGTCGGAGCCACGGCCGATCTTGAGGTCGCCGTTGCCGTTGGGCTGGGGGCTGGTGCCGTGGACGGACTGGCAGTTGACGAGGCCGTCAGATTGGCAGTCAGCGTTGCCGTCCTGCTGGCAGCCAGTGTCGTGGTCGGACTGGTATTCGGCATTGCCGTCGGGATGGCAGTCGGCTTTGCTGCCGGGCGGGCAGTCGGCGTTGCCGTCAGACTAGCCGCAGGCGCCATCACTCCTCAGCAGGACTGCGAAGTCCTGTCTGGCGGCAACCTGCGAGCAACTCCAGTAGGCGACCAGGGCAGGGAGGTCGCAGCGACACTCGTTGCGCAAACTGCAAGCCATGGCACTCAGCGCTCCAGAACAGGACAGCGTGGTACCATCTGGCGACATCCTGCGCGTAGCTCAGGCCTGCGACTGGCGCACGGAAGTCCCTTGACTTAAGTGGCCCGTGCTGCAGGCCACGGCGCTGCCATCGCTCCACGGCTGCGCTGTGCGACACCCGCTTGCGGAAATTGTTCTTCTAAATCTAGTCGAATCCCGATCGGCGCTCCAGACTGCGCAGGCGCTACAGGTGATGTGGGATGTGGGCGCCGCCCTCAAGGCTGCCGCCGACATCACTGACAGCGTCGTTGACGATGCCGCCATCGGCGGTGCAGCGGATGGCGCCAGCGTCGCAGCAGCTTACGCCGAGGTCGGCGTCGATCGACACGGCTCGACCGCACCAACCTCGATGGCCTCGGGTACCCACGTGGTGCGAGATTGCTCGACTCCGCAGAGTTCGATGCCGTCGCCGACGTCGCAACCAATACCGAGCTGGCGGTCATCATGGTAGCGCCAGACGCCCCGAAGCTAGACACCAGTGGTGCTGGCTTCGGCCGGGGCGGACCCCATGGTACTGCGCGGACCCGGAAGTCTGGATCCCGCCGCGGTGCTCGACCCCGCCTGGGCGGACATCGCGGTTCGGCTCATCGAGCCCGCCCGCATAACCGACGATGCGGCAAGGAGCCGCGGTGCTCACCACCCCGCGGGCGGTATCGTGACACAGTGGGCGACCAGGTCACCGCACTGCTCGCCCAGAACTAGCTTCAGCCAGGGTGGATACCCTTGCACCGCTCGAACACGTGTGGCTGGTCGTGGCGGACCCCACAGTACGGCTCAACGAGCCCGTGCGAGCCGCCGCCGAGTGGCGGAGGGCCACCTGCCTTTTCACCGCTGGCCCAGGGAGCACCTTGCGACCGCGCCCAGCGCCGCAAGGTCGCACTGCCCATGGTCGCTGATGCTGCTGGCCTCGGCGCCCGCCACCCCGCGGGCGGTCTCGCTCAGCTGCCGGCGACCAATGGAGGAGCCCCTCGGTCACAGCACTGCTCGCCCTCTGGCACCAGCAGGGCCCATGTCTAGCTCCCATGGACGGAGCCCGTCGCGGCGCCTGTGTCGCCGCGCCCCAGACGGGCCCTCGTACTCGGGCGGGGCGGCCACCGTTTACCCGCTGCCACTTCCGACGCGCGAGTGCGCGCCCACCCCTTGTCCAACAGGGCGACCAACATCCCGCAAGACGGAACTGGGCATTCGGACCTAGCTGGCGGCGCGCCCTCTGGGTGCGGCGGCTCTGAGTCGGAGGACAAGCCTCTACTGCAAAGCTGCCGCGGTATGGGTAAGGGCACCGCCCGAAGCCGTATTGGACCACCCTGAGCCAAAACAATTGCGGGAAAGCCGTCGCGCGACTCATCACCGTCATCGTCATCGTCATCGTCATCGCCATCATCATCATCATCATCATCATCATCATCATCATCATCATCATCAGCAGCAGCAGCAGCATCATCAACATCAGCAGCAGCAGCACCATCATCATCATCATCATCATCATCATCATCATCATCATCATCATCATCATCATCATCATCATCATCAGCATCATCTGCATCATTACCATCATCATCATCATCATCAGCATCATCAGCATCATCAGCATCATCACCACCACCACCATCATCATCATCAGCATCACCATCATCACCATAGCCACCACCACCATCATCATCATCGTCATCATCATCACCATACTCATCATCATCAGCATCATCATCACCATCAGCATCATCAGCATCATCATTATCATCAGCATCAGCATCAGCATCATCATCATCATCATCATCACCATCGTCATCATCATCAGCAGCAGCATCATCATCAGCAGCAGCATGATCAGTATCATCATCGTCATCATCATCATCATCAGCATCACCACCACCACCATCCGCATCATCACCATCAATATCAGCATCATCATCAGAAGCGTGAACATCATAATAATAATCATCATCATCATCATGACAGTCGTCATCATCGTCACCACCATGATCGGCATCATCAACATCATCATCAGCATCCTCATCAACATCATCAGCATCATCATCAACAGTATCGGTATCATGATCCGCATCGTCATCAGCATCACTATCAGCATCAACATCCTCATCATCATCCTCCACATCCTCATCCTTATCCTCATCAGCATCGTCATCAGCATCATCATTAGCATCATCATTATCATCCTCATCTTCATTACCTCATCAGCATGATTATCATCAATATGATCATCATCATCATCATCATCATCAGCAGCAGCAGCAGCAGCAGCGGCAACAGCAGCGGCCTCCTCCTCCTCCTCCTCGTCCTCCTCCGCCTCCGCCTCAGCCTCCGCCTCCGCCTCTTCATCACCCTCCTCCTCCTCCTCCTCTTCCTCCTCCTCCTCGTCCTCGTCCTCCTCCTCCTCCTCCTCCTCCTCCTCCCCTTCCTCTTCCTACTTCTCCTCCTTCTCCACCTCCTCCTCATTTCTCCGCCTCCACCTCCACCTCCGACACCGCCTCTTCATCCGCCTCCTCCCCCTCATCATCCTTCCCCTCCTCTTCCTCCTCCTCCTCCTACTCCTCCTCCTACTCCTCCTCCTCTCCACCTCCACCTCCAACTCCTCCGCCTCCGCCTCCGCCTCCACCCCTCCTCCCTCCTCCTGGTGCTCCTCGTCCTCCTCCTCCGCCTCCTCCTCTTCCTCTTCCTCTTCCTCGTCCTCCTCCTCTTCCCCCTCCTTCTACTTTTCCTTCTGCTTCGCCCTCCTCTTCAATCCCTCTGGGCCCCTCCCTGTCTGGGGGCGCGCCACAACGGCCAGGAGGAGCATCACCTGAGGGGCCAGGAGCGCGACAACGAGGCCGAGTCGACGACAACGATGGCGGGTCGACGATAACGACGACGACGACGACGACGACGACGACGACGACGACGACGACAACGACGGCGGCGGCGGCGGCGGCGGCGGCGGCGACGAGACGACGAGTCGCGGGGATGGGGGTTCGGGGGGGAGTCGGGGGAGTCGATTAGACGTGCCGATGGCAGTAAGGAGTGGGATTCCTGGACGGATGGAGGGGCGGAAGCTGTGGCTCCAAGCTGGCCAGCGCTCCAATCCCTGCCGCACAAGCGAGGACAACGCGACTGCTCAGCCCTGATCCACACATACGACGAGCTGCAACCAAACTCGCGAACGACAAGTTCGGGCACTGCATTGAATGATATGTCGCCGGCACATAAACTGAACATTGACTCCCGTCCTGTCAGATCCGTCCGACGCATACATCCCAGAGCGAATTCGCATTGTCGGTTTGGCTCGTCGGTAGCGCACTGAAGCCCAAATTCGCCAGGATGGTTCTGACAGGCAACACCCCAATTGTAGACCGCCGAGCCCAACATGCTCTGACATTAGAACCACCGCAAAGAAATAATGAACATCGGGGCAGTCATACTGTCACTGGCATGGGGACGGCACCAATGTCGCTACAAATGTACGACCATATGTACTTCAAACGTGCCTCGCACCCGTGATGAAGTCATCACTTCTGTCATTGGTGCAGCCAATCGTACAACCACCTGCGCCTCCACCCGTTATACACATGTATGTGTATACACGGTGAATAAATATACCAGATACCAAATATGGTTGGTCCGCTATCGCTTCGCCACAACATATTGTCCTCACCCAGGGCGCGAATTCGTTGCACCCCTCCACAAGCACGGACTAATATTGCAAGCATCTTGGCTTCCAACACCTTGTCCATGACCATGTTCCTCCTCCTACGGTGGAGTTGTTGCAATCACATGCGACCTCCCCCTCATGCGACTCAGTCTCCTCATTCATCTCATCCTCCGATTCCTCGTCGTCGTATGTCACGTCGTTGTGCCCTGATTGTTCCTGCGGAACCTCGGTGGATCCACTTTGGCCATCGTGGGCTGCCTGTGCGGCCCCATGAGACAACCCAGGCCCGCCCTCAAAGCCAGACTCTCCCTAATTGCCGCAACCTCCTGTGGAAGGTCGGTGGCCATATTCTGGCATTCTGGCTCCCGATCCGGTCTCTATGTGTCTCCAGTCGCCCTCATGGCGATCTCTTGGGCCCCTCTTGGAGGAGTCCTGAGCTAATTGGGGCCATCCTGGAGCATAGGGTACCTTCAGGGTTTGGGCTGCCGTGTGTTTCGAGTTGCAACGCAACGCAATCCTGCGCTACGCAATACAATGCCTTGCAATGCAACGGAATACTGCGATGCGTATTGCTGGGTCTTGCTGACCGGCGCGGCCCAGTGTTCTGCAATGATACGCCATGCAGTGCTGTGACATGGTATGTCATGCTAGTCTACGCGACAATGTGCGCTATGCAATGCTATGCTGTACTATGCCATTCTACGCAATGATCAGAGTGAGGGGACCGAACCGTCATTCACTGTCCCTGGGCGCGTGGCTGAAGTGAGGTTCTGCGGTGCGGATTGGTGTTGTTTATGCGTTACCAGCTGTTTCCCATCCGCCATGTTGTTGTTGTTGCTGTTGTTGTTGATGATGTGGTTGTTGCTGCTGCTGTTGGTGATGTTGTTGTTGCTGCTGCTGTTGTTGGTGTTGTTGTTGGGTTGTTGTTGTTGCTGTTGTTGTCGTTGCTGTTGCTGCTGTTGTTGCTGCTGCTGTTGTTAGTGTTGTTGTTGATGTTGATGTTGATGCTGTTGTTGCTGCTGCTGCTGATGATGATGCTCTTGGTGTTGTTGTTGGTGCTGCTGTTATTGTTGTTGTTGATGTTGCTGATGTTGAATATTCATTTCTAAAGAATGATTATTGCGGATCTGCGGAAACGGTTCCGCGCGCTATCGCCTCGACGTCGGCTACATTTTCTCTGAAACGAGGCTCCCGCTCGAGCGTTGGCTTGAGCTTAAATGTAGGCCCTTTGGATGCCCAGCTGCGACAACAACGGCTCCCGCTCGATATTTCCTCACAGCTTACCCCGAGACACTCTGGCCAGAGAGGCCCCCGAACTCACGAACGGCGCTCTCGCTCGAGACTTCCTCGCAATTCAATTAAGTTGGCGGAGGCCCAACCACGACGACAAGGGTTCCTGTTCGATACTTCCTCACGATTTACTACGAGAGCCCCTGGCCAAGAAGGCCCCCGAACTCAGGAACGGCGTTCTCGCTCGAGACTTCCCCGTAATTCAGGAAAGTTGGTGGAGGCCAGGACATTGCGAGAAGGGCTCCCGTTCGATATTTCTCCATCGGTATTCCGAGAGCCCCTGGCCAGAGAGGCCCCCGAACTCAGGAACGGCGCTCTCGCTTGAGACTTCTTCGCGTTTCAGTCAGTGGCCGACAAGGATGAGATTCCCTCCGAAAGGGGGTGCAATCGAAGACGAAGTGGGCGGGTACCGAGGGTTGGGGTATACGGAATGCAAGACACGCGTGCCAGTGAGAGCGAATAGTCTTAAAATGAATGTTGTTGTCGGTGGTGTTGTTGAACATTATTAATTCTAAAGAATAATTATTGTTGGGACCCCTGGTGCACGGCCCCCCTGCGCCGCCTAGGCCGCAGCTACATTTTCATCATTTTCGTGAGGAAGCCTCAGGTAATACGATGTCATCAAGATCCGGTTGTTTTGTTGTAATCCGTTTTCCCTTGCAAAAAACACTATAAAATGACATTTCTTGTTCTAATATAATCAAATTTCAAGAATCCCTTGCAAAAAATAAGGTAAAGTGGACATTCGCGCGCGCAAGACGAAATCCTTCCAAAAGCTTAGTGTTCGGAGCGATTTTAACATAAAAACATCAAAAAACCAATGGTTTTTCAACAAAAAAATGTCAAAATCTCATCCCGCGCGCTCTTGCGGATTCGTAGGAAACCCAACACTTTTTAAACATTTCTGTCAAACGGGCTTTTGCGAGCAACTTTTTCGAACTTCTGCGACAACGGTTGCGCACCTGCCAGGGCCATCATCCCTGTCAAATAATACCATGCGGGACACATTCGTTTTTTCTTCGCGCGCGCACGCCGAAATCTCCAAAAACCATTGGGCTTCTTAAGAATTTTAGCACCGCGCATCATAAAATCACACGAATCGCACCGTAGGTCCTCGAACAACACCTGTACGAACGTAGGCTTAACAACTTCTGTGGGTGTGTACTCCACGCCAGTGTAGTAGCCACGGTCGTCCGCAGGCCACGAAGTGAAGTGTCCGAACGTCATAGGGCGGGAAGCTGGGTGTGGGTGGTGGCGAAGAGTCGTGTGGATATTTGGTAGAGCTTGCACTGCCCCCCCACAAAGTGGGGGTATTGGCTGGCGTCGCATGAAAACCCTGGCACTGGTGAGAACACTGAGCGTTCGGGTAAAGTGATTGTTGTTGTTGTTGTTGTTGTTGTTGTTGTTGTTGTTGTTGTTGTTGTTGTTGTTGAACTCTCACTGCTGAAAAAAACAAATATTATTGATCCCCCCCTCCGGTGACCATGGTGTTTTTTTCACTTGAAGTGCTTCCCCCGGGGCTCGCACTTTTTTGTTTAAGGGAAAATCGCAAGGGTCAAACTGTGCGTGCCCCTGGACCCCGGGTCACAACAACAACGGCTCCCGCATGAGACTTCCTCACAATTTAGCCAGGACCCCCGCTCCCGCCTGAGACTTCCTCGCATTTTACACAGGAGTTGCGCCCTCGCTTGGGACTTCCTTACAATTCATACAGGAATCGCTCTCTCGGCGCTCTGGACTCGCGCTCTCGCTGGAAAATCGCTTGCGATCTATTCAAGAATCGAGCCCTTGCGTTGGAATTCTCCGCAATTTACTCATGCACCGCGCCCCCGACACTCAGGCACCCACGAGTCGCGCTCACGCCTAGGACTCCCTCACGGTTAACTTAGGAATCGAAATCTTGTTTCCCTTCGTGGCGCCAACGCAGCACTTCGTGGCCCGTTCGCTGCCCTTCGTGGCAACTTCACTGCCCTTCGTGGCCACCTCGATGCCCTTCGTGGCCCCGTTGAAGCCCTTCGTGGCCCCCTCGCTGCCATTCAAGCCCCGATGCAGCCCTTCGTGGCCACTTCGTTGCCCTTCGTGGCCCCGTTGCAGCCCTTCGTGGCCCCTTCGCTGCCCTTCGTGGCCCCGTTGAAGCCCTTCGTGGTTTCCTCGTTCCCCTTCGAGGCCCCGCTGCAGCCCTTCATGGCCCCCTCGCTGCCCTTTTCGTGGCCCCCCCGTTGCAGCCCTTCGTGGCAACTTCACTGCCCTTCGTGGCCCCTTTGCAGCCCTTCGTGGCCACCTCGCTGCACTTCGTGGCCACGTTGCGTGCAGCCCTTCGTGGCCATTTCGTTGCCCTTCGTGGCCCCGGTGCTGCCCTTCGTGGCCACCTCGCTGCACTGCGTGGCCCCGTTGCAACGCTTCGCGGTCCCCCCGTTGCCCTTCGAGGCCCCGTTGCAGCCCTTCGTGGTTTCCTCGTTCCCCTTCGAAACCCCGCTGCAGCCCTTCATGGCCCCCTCGCTTCCTTACGTGGCCCCTATTGCATCCCTTCGTGGCCACCTCGCTGCCCTTCGTGGCCCTATTGCAGCCCTTAGTGGCCCCCTCGCTGCACTTCGCGGCCCCGTTGCAACCCTTCGTGGCCCCCTCGCTGCCCTTCGTGGCCCCGTTGCAGCCCTTCGTGGCCCGCTCGCTGCCCTTCGTGGCCCCGTTGCAGCCCTTCGTGGTCACCTCGCTGCACTTCGTGGCCCCGTTGCAGCGCTTCGCGGCCCCGTCGCTGCCCTTCGTGGCCCCGTTGCAGCCATTCTTGGCCACCTCGCTGCCCTTCGTGGCTCCGGTGCAGCGCTTCGTGGCCTCCTCGCTACCCTTCGTGGCCCCGTTCCTTCGTG